TTTTGTTGTTGTTTTTTTAGTGTGGGCTTGAAGTGGAACGCAAAGATTTCTGACGCGGGGCGGGGGGGTTATTGACGGTTAAAGTGGGGCGCAGAGATGGGAGCAGCATGGTTTTGTCTGCACTACGGTTGTGTCTTGTTACCTCTGGTAGGCTGGAGCCAGCGATGGTCATTTCCGAAGTGTGAGAGAGTTCACTGCTGTGAGAACTAAGTAGTTGTTAAGCTTAAGGAGTTGAGTCTGGTCCCATTTCCAGGCCTCGGGATTGTTACAGATACGCAAACTGACTTCTTGGGCTTCTCTGGGCTTAAGTCTCGCTAATTAAAATGGAACCAGTTGCTGTGAGCAGTGTACAGATGTGCAATTTTAGGCAACCTCATTTGAGTGTAACTTCTTGGATAAATGCCTTAAGCCAGAAAGTGAAGATGCTGTGGTGTTTACCATAACTTTTGAAAAGTTGATGGTGTTTTCCTTAAAACCTAGTTCCTAAGCAGTGTCTGGGAACGTGGTGGTAAAGCACAGTTAAAATACATGCGTGATTTACATGTGTCTTCAAACTTTGTCTTAATTTCTATTTGATCAGCCAAGGTGTGTATTGATTACTGTTGCCTAAGGGTAATGAATTAAGGTGTGTGTTTCTTACCGAACAAGAGTTGTCCAGTTTATCTTTCTTCTTTCATTGATTACAAGATGCTTGTCCTGTTTTCTGGATAAAACCCCATAAATTTGCACAGTGCTTGAGATACAGTGCTCCTATTCAGAGGATAAAAACGTGCAAATAAGACCACCAGTAACACTTGCAGTTGATGTCTTGGAACGTATGCAAAAGGCTGTTGTGTTTTATGCGAGTTGGAACAAATTGAGCCAAATGATGTCATTATTCCATTAAAATTTTTCTCGGTACAAATGTGCATTTGACTCCTTTAAATTCTTTTAAATTTTAAGTTTTGAAGTTTTGATTTTCACATGATTCTTGGTGTAGAGATGTAATTCTGAGGTGCTTTGTTTTTTCTAAAGCCAAGGCTAGAGAGCGTCACATCCATCCATCCGTAAAGTGAAAGAAAGAAAGAGCACACATGCTTTTGTAGAGGAGAGAATAAAAAGGACAGGGTAATGCAAGAATGAAAAGGAAGTGGCTTGGGAGTACCAGGAGGTAGATGTGTCAGTGTTGCCTGTGTTTTCTAGTAAACAGGTATTCTTTTTTATATTACAAGCAAACCAAGACACCACACTTGCTGTGCTTGAGAGATTGCATCCTGCATATTCTCTTAATTTTGTAGGCCACTTACCATATGTTGTTTTACACTTCTATGTAGTTTGCTTGCTTAAAGTTGTTACGTTGCATGTTAAAGTTGGTAGTGTTCCCTGTCTGATAGAGTGAACTCTTGTTTGAAATTATCTGTTATTTATGTAAGAAGAGGTAACTTTGTAGGTATGGTGTCTGCCATGGATTGTATTCTAGATCCTAATTATATTCAATAGTAGAAGGGCCGAGTGATGTTAATGCAGATGGTATTGATTGCTCTTTCCTTTCAAACTTGTAAATAATAGTTTGATGGGTTGGGAGGCATTTGGTCCTTTCATCCCTGTCTGCATCTAGTCCTGATATATACTTTACAGGCAGAGGGTTTGCTTTAATTAAGTTAAATGTAGAAGATCGATGATTGTCTGCTGCAGTGCTACCAGGCAATGAGAGTAGTTCCATCAAGGTAACCACTGCTTCAGGATGCATTTCTCTAGTGGTTATAAAATTAATTTGAAAGTTTGTCATGTACTATCAATTGACTTAAAAGTGTAACTGTGATTTTTAGAGGTCCCTAGGGATGCAGGACACTTTGCCTGGAAAGTTTTAGCTGTGAATTATTTTGTCACTAGAGGTTCATGTGGAGATGAAAAAAAAATCCGTGAATGATTGTTGTTGTGACATGGTGGAATTTGGCAGTTTCAGGCCTATAATTTGTTGGTGTTTTGTTGTTTTTTTGTTTTTTTTTTTCTTAAACCACCATTTCAAGGGCATGGAACTCTCACCTTCTTGTATATGTCATTGCTAATGAATGTAATGGCCAGGAGGAAGTGTCCTGCTTGCTGAGCTTTGGTATAAGATACCCTTCTTCATCAAATGGCCTGAATGTTTAAGCTTTTCCCTATGTAAATGTGGCAAAATTTGTTGTTTTGTTTTGGTTTTTTTCCCTGTTAATGAACAGTTCTGCTGGTAGAATGAAAATGCAACGGTCTTTTGTTATAGTTGAGGTACACAGTCACCTAGTTGGCTTTGTTTTGCCATACCAAAATGAGCCATACAGCTATGAGAGCCGTTACCAGTATGACCAAGGTCTGTCTCTGTGAACTTCAGTTTCTGAAAATGCCAAGACAGTTTAAAGAAGTGATGTGTAGCCAAGGGCTGACAGGACAAGATTATCTCCTTGAGACACAGATTCCCTTATCTCATATATTCTAAGCCTAGGGAACAAGCTTTAAAAATTTGTCCTGTTTCTTCGTGAGTATCCAATACTTTTGGACCTGAGATTCCACTTCTATCTCAAGATGTGTTACCAACTAAATTGTTGTTATAATTTTTTTTAGCCCCTTCTGCATCACTGAATACCTCCACAATAGGCTGGCTCAGAAGCATAACCAAGAGGCTTGCCTGTGTCTGTCAGGGCCTCAGAATGAACTCTGAAAACCTGTAGGACAGAGTTGTGTGTTGGGATGTACAGCTGTCCGTAAGGCTGGGAACGGGAGGCTTGTGGCTGCAGACTTGTAACCTGGGTATGTCTAGCAAAGGTCTAGCTTGTATTTTAGTATATATCAATTGTGTGTTATTTATATAAATCAAGAGGTGATGGATCCGGACTCCTGCTTAGCTGTGGTCTTTACTAGACATACCAGTGAGCCTGGTTTTGGATGATGGGTTTACCTGCAGTAGTAGTGATTCAAACCAAGGCACAGGTATTATTACAGACATTTTGTTTCATCTTTATAACAGATTTGAGTGTGGTCTCGTAAAGCATTTTTCTTTGGCAATATTGCTTCATTTGGAAGTGGGATAGATTAACCCTAAACTTGGAGTTATGTTTAGTGATTGTGATTTATTTTTAAAAAAATATAAAACTTGGTTTTCTTGTTTGTTTTTAAATAGCCGATTGGGAACAGGTGGTTGGTCTTGTGTGAAGTGACATGCTTCTGCTTGTACTGGCTTACATAAAAACTTCACCTTTCTTAAAACACAGAATTACTTTCTTTCCTTCTTTTTGGTAAATGTGCTTTTGTCCATCTATCGATCTTTATTGTCTCTGTGTATATTCTTTGGTGTATATTCATTTATTCTGAATAGAGCTTCTAAGCTTTGAACTTTTCATAGATAAGGAAGAACCAGAATCTTTGTATGTTTTGAGGTTTTTTGTTTCTTTTTGTTGGGGTGTTTTTTTTCCATTTTGGTCAACAGCATAGCTGAGGTAACTAGAGAGACGAGTATGGAGAAGTATATTGGGCATAATGCTACAGAGTTTTGGTGTCTAAATTTATATTTGATGTGTTGTTTTCAGTTTGTAGCATGTTTGCATCCGAAAATCAATTTTTAAAATATACTGGGGGAACTCAGGAAGAATCTGTTGAGATTTGGTCTAAGTGGTACAGGCGGCGTATGGGTTTTAATTACACTTGCTGTATTGGCTTTCAGTTAATGTAAGCTTGTCCCCAGCAAGTTCGTTTGAAGTTGAAGCCCTGTGGCTTCTGCTGTGCAAGACTTAGTCTTTAAGAATTAATGTCTATTTTTGTTCTGATATGAAAAGTCTCCAAGTTGTGCTCTTGGTTGGGTGTGTCAGTTTGAGGCTAATGAAAACAAGGAAAAAGTTAAGCATTTTAGAAATACCTTGTCTGAGGGTGTAGTCATGATAAACTTTTCTTTTGGCAGCAGTATTTCGGTTTAAACCGCTCCTGCTGTTTGTTTCCATTCCATGCTGTTGTCTTTGGTTTGTGTTGGTAAAATATTTTGTAGGCCTGTGTAATAACTGCAGTTATAAATTTCTGGACTAAAAATAACTCCCGGAAGAGACTGTATTATTTCTGGTGTTGATCGGTACCCCTGTTGGTTGGCTGCCCAGCTTTGAAACCTCTGTGCTACCTCAGCTGAGGAAGGAAAGGGGAAGGAGGGTGGTGGAGACCTTGCACTGCTTAAACAGGTGCTGCTGCTGCTGTTGCTGCAAGATATGCTTATTAACCAGCTACTTCTAAGTTTACTTTGCAGTTTAAATTTCTAGTACTGCAGTTATACCACTTGCTTACCAGACCCCTAAAATTCCAGTTCTCTATGTTGTTTTCACTGTCACTACAATGCCTTTAATTCTGTTGCAAAATGTTACATTCAAGTTTTGTGCTTTAATTGGGATTGGGTATGAGTCTCATTCTCCAGTAGTTTGAGAGTCCCTGTGTTACCATTGCTTTTATAGACCACTGGTATATAGACATGTTTGCGTTAATACTGAGGAGCCTTATTCTGAATGAGACACACTGTTCTAGGTTTTGAAGTAAGATAGAAGAAAAATAATTTGTCTTTTTGTTCTAAAATAAGCAGCAGATGAATTGGAGATTTGGATGGGCAAGGGGAGGATGAGGCAGTACTGCTTGAAATCAAGGGCTCGTTGTGCTAGCGCCTCATGTTCTTTTTACAGCAAACATCATGGGAAAAAATTTTTGGAGGAGGCAAATAGGTGCATTTTGCGGCTGTTACAGGGCACGTCTCAAGCCTGGGAATAGTCTTGGAGAAAGCATGGAGGTGCTTGTTTGAAAATCGAGTACAAAAGCCTTTCTTAAATATCTGATTACGTGGAACAATCTTGTAATATCTCAATGAAAACAGGCCTTGTTAATGTGGTGAGTTTTGGTTTGAGCTTTTTGTGGCAGCGAGTGCAATTATTTCTGCTTCCTTCTGACAGACCAAAGAGAACACTGTACAGTAAGAAGTATGGAGTGGACCTCATCAGGTACACACACGCTGCCAACACTGTCGTGTACAGCTCCAACAAAATAGATGGTAAGTGGTCCACTGGAGTTGAGCATATTTAGTCTCCTTACATTTAAGACTATATGCCTGGATAAAAAGCTCTAAAGAGCTGGGAAAATATTGTAGCAACTTTTTGGTGATAAATGCACTGTCAGAGACAGAGGAATTGATGTTCAACTCTAATGCACAACTCGGTGATATTCCCTCGAGCATGCTGATGTGAGTTATTGTATTGTCGCAATAACTAAGGTATTAAACGTTGTTGGTGTGATGAAAGTTAGGTTCTTGATTCTGCTGTTCACTTCGCTGTTTGAAACCAGTGCTGTCAGTCAGCCTCTGTGCCTTAATTTCTTACGTGTGAAATAAGGTGGAAGGAGCACAGCCAGAAGGTGGGCTAATGCCATAGCTCTGTCTGGTATGCGCACAAATGAAGTGCAAAGGAAGGGAATGTTTTTCCATTCCCTGTGCGCAGCAGGGAGGACAGGAAGTTCAGGTAACTCGGCAGATCACCAGCCAAGCCTGGAGGAGGTCACAGAGCTCTTCTGAGATTATCTTTGCTTCTGTTAATCTGTTTTTTCCATGTAGTAGACAGAACACCCACTTCCATGCTATTTCTCCACAGTCAGTGTCTGTGATAGCTACACTCTGTAAATCGCTGACATCAGAAAGGCTTCTAGAACTCTGTGGCAGGCTCTCTGTTACTGTATTTGAATTTAATCTAAAAGTCAGATTTAAGACCTGGCACAGATAGGTACATTATTTCTTCCTAAGGTTGGAAACAGCTACTGTTCATTTGAAATTTTGTCTCAGCTTTTTTTGTTGTAGTCAGTGTCTGAGGGATTTTTAGCAAACAAGTCTCTTAGCACGGCACTTTATAAGTGGGTTTTAACATTGTATTTGTAAACATGATAATTTCTGGAATAGTGGTTTTGTTTTGGTGTTTTCCTTTGCAGAGGTGGACCTTGACAGTAGAGATACTGGTGCCTTATTTGTGCTAGGTTACTTAAGGAATTCAAGAGTATGAAATTAGAGCAGATGGAAGTTAAGTTAGGAAGTCAGGTTAAGCTAGAAGAAGCTGGACCTGAAACTAGAGGAACAAGAAAGTTTCCAATGGAATTGGATTTAATGGTGTAAAAGGATTAAAAGTGTGACAGGAAGCACTTGCCTTTTTAGTCTGTTTCACAGCCTGCTTATTTTTTTAATGAAGTTTTGACTTCATGTTGATTTCTGACTTGACAGTTACTGAATTTACAATTAATTAACAATTCAACAAAGCATTTTTAATGCTGCTGTGAGTTTTTGTTTATAAGCACTGGTAAGCCTTTGAGGAACCGAAACTTAAAGAGCCTTTATCCTGTAGGGTAGCATTATGATAAGAAGAAAAGAAAAAGGTAGCATGTGAATGTATTTATGGCTGTTAGGAACTATAAGCCTAATAAAACCAGCAGCATGTTCTGGAGGGGTCTCTTTTGTCCCTAACGCATGCAGCAAGGTGCGTTATATTTAACCTGTTACGCAGTTATCGGGGGAAAAATTAACCCAGGAGCATGTTACAGGAGTGCTGGCGCTGGCTCTCAAGCATTTTATGTGTTGGACTTGCTACCAATCCAGTCACTTCTGAAGATTTCCTCAAGGCCTTTGAACCTAGTTCCTCTTGCCTGATTCCAGGCTGAGGTAGTAGTTTGTACAGTTTGAGGGTCTATGATACCACCCGGTACAGGAGATAACTGTACAGGCCACTGCCTTGCCTGGGACAGAGCGCTGCCAACAAAAAGGATCACAAAGGATCACAGTTCCCTGGTGCTGCTTCTTTAGCAAAGGAAGATAAAATTCTGCATGGATACTTCAGAAATCAGGTAACGACAGTTCTTGCAGGAAAAACTAGAGATGTGTCTTAACAGCTTGCTTGAAGTGTATCGGTTGTAGCCGCGATGGGATGTGATGCTGGTGTTGGGGATTCATGTTTGGATAGTCACCTCAGGTCACTTAGAGCCTTTCAGAACTGTGTGTCACCAGCATCCTGTTTCCAGCTTGATCAGTTAGCTTTAGTTTTCTTGTCAAATACTGGAGGGTGTCTAGAACTCTGATCTCAGCTTGCTGTGAAACCTGAGGCAAAAATGGGAACTTGATAATTTTTTCACAGAAACTAAATTTTGCTGAATGAGTCTTTCAAAAAACTGAACACAGTAGCCCTTAAGAGTGCTAAAATGCACTGTGCATGTTGCATCCTGTTGGCTCTCGTTCTTCTGAGTCAAAAGTGAAAATGTCCTTTCCCCTCAGTTTATCTGTGGAGCCTCGTCAGGACTTGTTACAGCAGCACGGAGTCCCTTGGCACCGTATGCTGCAGGTGCACGATGCCGACCTCTTCCATCCAGCAGTAGCTTAAACCAGTGTCCCCTAATCAGCGTGGGAAGGCACTTTGCTGATACTGCTTTCGTGGGTTGGAGGTTTAACTTGTGCTCTTCACATTTCATCACTCGGATGGATCTGCACATAAAGATTAAAAAGTGGCTTCTGTGTTTTAATAATTGTTTCCTCTTACAAGGATTTCTTTTAATCTTGGGAGGAAGTCTCAACAGCATCTTCCAAATTCTGGGCTACTCTTGATATGTTCATCTATACTCAGAATAAAATTACCACTTGAGAAATGTTGTGGTGCTGCTCTGATTTATTCAATATATTTTTAAGATTACTTTAAGTGGACTAAGCTTTAGTTCAGCTTTTCATCTGTCCTCTTCTTAAAGCTTAGCTGTTCTAAATGCAGAGAATGTGTGAAGCTGTGGTTGTCAGATTAAAAAAAAAAAAAAAAAAAAGAGATTTGCTGCTTTTAATGGTCTTGTCCTGGCTTTGAAGTTCATGTTTTTATCTTCCCTTTGGCTAAATGCTAGAATTCAGGAATTTCGTATGCTTACTGTTTAGTTGGAGACTTATTTGCTGCTTGTGTACGTAGGTAAGACAGCAAGATTCATGCTGTATAGCAAAAAAAAAAAAAGGAGTAGTATCAACTTCGTAAATTTTATACTCTCAGTATTGTGGGAATTATGGAATAAAACCTACTGCTACTTAAATTTTAGCAACTTTGAAATTAACTTGCATAAATCACATGGCAGTTTGCCTTTGGGTTATAATACAACTTCAGGCTGTAGGAAGTATCTTTTCCTTGATTATCAATTCTGCCTTGGAAACCAGGTTGTTCTATGTCTAACGATTCTGTTTCAAAGTCTGACTTGAAATCAAATGATGAAACTTATTCAGTGTGGGAAGATTGCTGTTGCTGTGGGGAGCAAGTTTACTGTGTGACCACTTCAAGATGGGTTCATGATATAATAAGGCTTATGGTTTATGTTTTCAGATACGATCCGATACCTCTCCCTGCATGACAACAAATACATTCGGTATTTCCCAGGGCATACAAAAAGGTAAGATGTGGCTTGGAGATAGTACAGGAGAAATTGAAATAATGATTGTAATGAGCTTGAGTTACGTTAACACTCGATTTGTTTTGCTTTGTAGAACTGTTCATGGCAATTATGAGCTTGTACTCACTTGTTGGGGTAGGTGTTGCTCCAGTCCTTTTGGGTGTCTCTGATGCATGTGGTCTTCTGTGTTGCAGAGTGGTTGCTCTTTCAATGTCTCCAGTGGATGATACTTTCATTTCTGGATCCCTTGATAAAACTATTCGACTTTGGGATCTCCGCTCTCCAAATTGCCAGGTAGGATATCAAATTCATGCACGTAGTGTGTTGCATTTTCAAGTAAAAGGATGGAAAATGGATGTGTGCTTGTTACAAAACGAAAATACTGCCGGAAATGTATGCTGCTGATTTAGTGTTGACGCCTTTCTGGAGTGCTGAAGGAGCCTTGATCACAAATCTGTGTGAGATACGTATGTCACATTGTGTAACACCACTCACTTTCACCTATATCTCTCCTGGAGAGGCACTGGGAAGAGCAAGAACACCCACAGCTGACAAAACAAAAGAGCTGAGTGTCGTCAGCTTGTTCATCAGGCTGCTACCCCATGCAGAGAGTATTCTCTCTTAGGGTTGGGAATGCATCTTATCCGAGTGTTTATAGTGTGTGTTTAAAATTGATGCCTTGATGCAATTAAATTTGATGAAGCAACTGATGATCTAAAGTAACACAGCAGCCATATGGTCTCTCTGCTACTTGTATCACCTTTGTTCATCAGAGCTGTTTGTGAGCAGATTTAACTTTCTAGCAAGGCAAAACCCTGTTTGTTTTTATTCATTTAGCTGGAATACTTTACTTTTTTTAGTGGAAGCAGGCTTGTGTGGGCTGAGAAAAGTACCAGAGCTGGCAGCAGGGGCAGGAATGAAAGACTACGTGTAGAATCTCCACGTTTTATTGATGATGAACTGTTTTGTCCCTATATACAAACACACTGTGTTGTGCTCTCATATTCTTCCCATCTCATTGGGACCATTTTGCTTATGCGAGGGGGCTGTTTACTTATGCCAGATGATGTAACTGTAAATCCAAAAGGAGGAAAAGGTTAGGTTCCTTACAAAATGATTTTATCTGTCTTAAAATCGAACATTTTCTGACAAGAAATCTTAATTTTGCCTTTCTCCAGGAGTATGCATTTAATGCCAGTGTGTAAGTTTCCCTTGGGATGAACCTCAGTGTCGAAGTTACTACAGATGAGACAGAGTTGTAAATTCAGTAGCAGTTCTATGGTTTATGCTAGTGCCTGAAGTTGTAAGAACAGTAAAACTAGGACTTGCAGCTGGAAGCTGCATCCGGCAAAGTTTGGGAAACAGGTTGAGGAAGTGTTCCTTGTCATTTTCGATTTGCCCATGAGATGGCAGCCATGGTGCCTAGAAATACTACCAAGAAACGAGAGGTGTCCCACTTGCAAGGGCCCTGAGTATTGGCTAACTTACTACTGCCTAGCCTTCAGAGATCACAGAGAAAACTGACCTAAATTGTAAAGAAAAGAACCTAGGAAAGTCTGTAGACTTCTCTAGAGAAGAATGGCATTTCAGAAATGCAGAAACTTCTTAAATTATTGTTGATTTAATCAAAGGCGTGTTCTTATTTATGTGCATACAGTTACATAAAGACATTTGGCTAACATGCACAGACCTGCCAGTCAGGATACAGAAAATTATATCTCTTCTTGGCTTTTACTAAATTTTCTCAGGTCTTATCTACTATTATCTACTAGGAAAACGTAACATTAAAAATAAGTACTGATAGTAATCTGTCAATTTTAATATGTTAAGGTCTGTTGGCTTCCAGAAGGTATGAGTTTTCATTAGACAGGCATGGAAGGGTCAGCAGTGGTGTATACTGGAGCTGTTTCTACTTGCTTTCAAAATACTTACCCCTGCCCCCCCTCCTTTGCAACCATAATTGGAGGAGCATAGCTATCAATCCCAGCAGCGGTGTTTTGTGGTGCTGTCTAGTATTAATACAGTCACATCATCCACCCTCCTCTGATTACTTGACAGCTCGAATGAGGTCTTGATGAGTTCTGATGTAAAATCTGTCATTGCAGCAGACTGGAAGCTTTGTATGATTACTTGAAGCGGTCAGAGTTGCTTTTGAGAAGCTGAGTTCTGAACCTTTGTAAAACCTCAGTATTTACAGTTGAAATTCAGTTGTTCTGCCCATAGGCTGCTGTCCTGCTCGCCGTGGGCTCAGAGGGCAGTGGTAGAAATTTGAGCATCAGTTTCACAAAATAATTTGGACTTCTTCCATTTTCTAGGGTTTAATGCATCTCCAGGGGAAGCCTGTGTGTTCTTTTGACCCAGAAGGGTTGATTTTTGCTGCTGGAGTCAATTCTGAAATGGTGAAGCTTTACGATCTCCGTTCTTTTGACAAGGTGAGCTACCCTAACTTCACTTCTTACATTTGTTAGCTTGCAAGAAGTAGGCTAAACTCAGCAGCTGGATTACTTTACTCCAGCTTACTATCTGGGGTCCCACTTGGCACCTAAAGAGTTTTCAGTAAGTACCCATCTCACAGACAGAAAGGGGTACGGGCTGTCACCAAATCCTGAAATCCACTCTTGAACCAATGTTAAAGTTTACTTCTTCCAACTCTTTAACCTGTTCCAAACTCCATTTAGGCTTTTTGTGTTGTTGGGTTTTGGTGGTTTGTTTTTTTTTTTTTTCCCTTGCTGCTTATTCTGGAAGAACACTGGCAAAGATGGAGCCCGGATTGTCAGAAAGGGTGGAAATTTCAAAGTAAACTGTAATTGCGTGGGCAGCTGAACTGGCTAAGCGCTGAGCATAGTTCCATGATTTTCAAAAAGTCAGATGATGATAACAGTGATTCAAGCTCTTTCTTGAACTTCAGTTAGCAGCCTTGTTTGAATTTATTCTGCCTTAAATTAATTTCTGCTGTTGAATGTGGTAGAGCATGGGACTGTTGGTTATTGCAACACCCCACTGTGGCGCTGTCTTGCTACTAAAACTGTTGATTCATACTGCTTTGAAACTACACATGCTGTGACATGTTTTTGCAATGGCACTTTCCTTTGGTATCTTAAGACTAAAGATTTTCTTCTGAAAAGTCTTAAATGTTTTCCTGAGTTAAGGTTAAAAGCAGGCTCTTGTCAGCAGCAATGCATACAGAGTCCACATCGTATAACAAGGCCAAGTGCAGGGTCCTGCACCTGGGTCAGGGCAGTCCCAATCACAGGTACAGTCTGGGCGATGAGTGGACCGAGAGCAGCCCTGCCAAGAAGGACTTGGGGTGATGGTGGATGAAAAACTGAGTATGAGCCAGCACTGTGCACTTGCAGCCCAGAAAACCAGTCGCATCCTGGGCTGCATGAAGAGCAGAATGGCCAGCAGGTCGAGGGGCGTGACTCTGCCTCTCTGCTCTGCTGAGACCTCACCTGCAGTGCTGTGTCCAGCTCTGGTGCCCCCAGCACGAGACAGACATGGACCTGCTCAGGCGGGTCCAGAGGAGGGCCACGAAGATGATGCAGGGGGTGGAGCACCTCCAATATGAGGACAGGCTGAGGGGATTGTTCAGCCTGGAGAAGAGAAGGCTCCAGGAGACCTTATAGCGGCCTTCCAGTGCTTAAAGGGGGCTACAGGAAAGGTGGGGAGCGATTCTTGATCAGGGGGTGGGTGATAGGACAAGGGGTAACTGCTTCAAACTGAACAAGGGGAGATTTAGGTTAGACATTAGGAAGAAATTCTTCGCTGTGGGGGTGGTGAGACACTGGCACAGGTTGCCCAAAGAAGCTATGGCTGCCCCCCCCCCGGCCGGGTTTCAACAACACGTGGGGGCTTTGAGTGACCTGGTCTGGTGGAAGGTGTCACTGCTTGTGGCAGGGGCGTTGGAACTAGATGATCTTTAAGCTCCCTTCCTACCCGAACCATTCTGTGATTCTATATTATTTCCCACTTTTATTTTGTAGGGGCCATTTGCTACATTTAAAATGCAGTATGATCGAACTTGTGAGTGGACAGGCCTGAAGTTCAGTAATGATGGTAAACTCATCCTCATATCGACTAATGGTGGGTTCATTCGACTGATTGATGCCTTTAAAGGAGCTATCCTGCATACATTTGGGGTGAGCATGTGGCCTGTGTAACCTGCTGGAAACTTGGTGTTAGTTTTGGGAGCAGGTGCCCTTTGGTTGGGAGATTACTGTGGACGCACTCTACTACATGCTCTCCTGTTTTGTGCCATAGGGTTATAACAATAGTAAGGCTGTCACGCTGGAGGCATCATTCACACCAGACTCTCAGTTCATCATGATAGGTAAGATAATTCTTCTTGGAAAGAATTCAGTGCTCTGAAATTAGGTGTGTTATGTAGGACTAAAGTTGTGTCTGTTGGGAAGTAGAATGTATTTCAATAATAAAATGCAGCTATAAGCTTTTTTGCATTGACAGTTCTCTGTTTTGTTAGTTTACTCAGGATTTTCTAGACTGAAATGTAAACGAGCCTGCAAGACGACTCTTATTTTTTCCTTTATATATGAATGCTATTAAAAAAGATAAGAAACTGGCAAACTGTTGTAATACGTGGAGACATGGCTCATAATTTATGTCAGTGATCCTCACCCTGTGGCTAGGTTGTGCCATGTGCTGCCTTAAAGCATTTCAGGGCTGTATGTTGTGGCCTGCCCTCCCTTGCCTGACGAGGAAGGCACCTGTCCGCGTGGGCGATCGGTCTCATAGCCTGGTGCATTTGTACACCTCTTGGGGACACTCTTGTGCTGGTGCCATGCTGGGGCAGCTGCATTCTGTTCATGTGGCTCTTGTAAACCCCCATGTCTGCTTTACCCTTGATAGAAGCAGTAGGCATCAGCCTGATGGTTCCCAGCATATGATTCCTCTGGTCCAGGCCCCCTTCCTTACCCCCTGCAGGAGGGACTCTGAGTGAAATGGGTGGTAAAAAGTGGTTGCAACTCCTGTAGAGCCTGGTGCTGCAGGTTGAGTACCCCAAGGTAAGCACTTCAGTCACTCCGCCACACACTGCTGCACTGCTGCCCAACAGGACCCATGAACGCAAATCAGATGCATCTGTGTGGTGCTGTCCTCTCCTAGCAGGTTTTTTGCTCTTATTTATATGGCTGGTACATCAAAGATGTTTTGACTTTGTGGGAATTGGTATCTGGATCCTCATTTCCTAGATGAGTGATGATCTTGACAAAACTTCTTTTTTCTTTTTCTTTTCTTTTTTTTTTTGTTTCTGGCTGAGAATTTCCCAGTTGCAGAGAAGGGGCATGGGGTTCTTTGTTTAGTCTGTCTCTGGAAAGCACCTTATTGTACACACTTTACTGTTGTGCCCTTCCAAATGAAAAATGCAGTGGAAGAAGTTCCAAAACACTTATTTCTGTTCAGTTTTTACATATGGTTAAGTTGTAACTTGTGCTGCTTAATTTTTCCTCTCTGAAAGGCTATACGTATAAATACAGAAGTAGAAGAAAATTCCTTATGTTTTTATTACAAATCTTATTTAAAATGAGACTAAAGCAGAATTGAATTATAAAAACGTTAAGTGCCAGCCCCAGAGTTTGCAAAATGCCCTTTTGAAGTGAAAAACGTGTCCCACTGTACTAGTGTGGAGAGTAGATATCCAGTGAAGCTTCTTGTATTTGGCATAGCGCATTGAAATCTGGTTACCTTCAGTGGTAAAACCTTTGATTTGATTCTGTGCCTACCGAGTGAAATATTTATCTCCTCCTGAGTCTGAACTGAGAACTTGTGTGAACAATGACTCTTACACACAGCTTTTGGCCTCTCACATGCTGGTGCAAGTTGGCAAGGGTCTTTCTTCCTTAGCTGGATGGTGTCAGCTCTCCTTTTCTACTGGGTGACTGTAGTTGTTAACCTCTTTGCCATAATATAGTTGTGTTGTGTTGCATGGTTGAGTCTTTGCAGTGCATAGATAAAACCTGCTGTTTGGATACGGATGTGTAAACTAGTGACGTTTTGTAAATGCTCTAGTGACACTTAGAGCTTTAAAGTTAAGCTACAAAGATGAGGCATGCTTGTTCCTACAGTGCTCTGACAGGAATGTTCTTCATTTTCTCTGCTGGCCTCTCCAGTCTGTGTTGCATGTCTTGTTTTCCATTCCCGCCTGCAGGTTCGGAGGATGGGAAGATTCATGTTTGGAATGGGGAAAGCGGAATGAAAGTGGCCGTGTTGGATGGGAAACACACAGGTCCTATAACCTGTCTGCAGTTCAATCCAAAATTCATGACTTTTGCTAGCGCATGTTCCAATATGGTAAGGAAAGTGTTTTAAGTTCTTCTTGACTCAATGAGGTGCTGACCCTTTTAGAAATGTCTGAGAAGGCTCAGTGCCACTGATGGGTATGTCCTTGGGCTTTGGTGAGAGCTGGGCCCCTGTCTGTCTTGCCTTGATCATGCCTTACCTGGCAGGTAGATGTGTGGGGCAGCACACCTGGCAAGCCAGTGTTTGAACACACACGAAAGCAGAGCAGTGAGTGAACGTGCACGCAGAAGTGAGAGTTCTCCAGGTCGCTGTACACGACTGGTACTTTCAGTCTGTGTACGACTGGCTTGCTCTGAGGACGTGCAGTGCAAACCAAACCAGCGTAAGCCAGGATTGTAACCTTAAACTGCGGGGAGGGTGCTGCTGCCTCTTTGCTTGTCTCCACTTGTGTGCTCATAGAAGGTAGCAGTGATCGGCTCCTACAGTATGGAACAGGAGAGATCTGTGTTCTGCTCTGTAAAAGATGTTCGTTCTTTCCTCTTTTGTAGGCCTTCTGGTTGCCAACTATCGACGACTGATTCCTACGCTGCAGCTGCTGTCAGATGACATCTACACTGCTAACAGCAGCACATCACTGCAAGCATAGCATTGGAATTGCCTAGGTCTCCTAGGCTGTGTTCCTGTTCCTGCATATGTCTCCATATGTCTTACCTTTATTTGCTGCGTTCCTTTGTGAGGACTCCTCCACTCGGCCTCCTAGCATGTTCAGAAGCGGCGTGCTACACGTTCTTACCTTCCAGTCCATGCCCAGCAGGCTTCAGCCAAAGTTGGAACTCACACAGTATTATTTCTGATAAGAGCAATGAAGTCTGTTTTATTTACAAAACGTTTGTGGCATATTTTTTTTTACGCTGTAATTGTGTGTTTCCGTCTGTAAGTGCGCAAGGCTATTGAGGTTCCAAGGTGGAACGTGCAGTACCTTCCCATAAGTGCATATGTCTTCACATCTGGGATCTCTGGTTTCACTGCAGCCCACAGATGCAAAGTTACTTTTGTGCCAAATGTGAACACTGACAGTTTTCAACTTAAACAGCAGATGCTGGATTCTCTTGCAGTGGAACACACACCGAAAGAGCAAGTGACTGTCAATATATACGATACATCCTGTCATCCTTTTTTTGGGTTATTTAGTGTGCAACAAACCACAGGTTTTGTCCGCTGCCAGAGCTTGCCGGAAAGCCTCCCTGGTGTTTGATGTGCCGGCATCCCGGAGGGCACAGACAGTACTGAGGAGGTCCAGTCAGCGTCCCAAGCAATAAAGGAGTCTGTCAGCAAGAAGATGGAGAAACCTACCTGAGACTGAAAGCACAGTCCGCCTGTGTATCTTTATTATGTATCATCTTGGCTGATCTTGCTTGTAAATATTGGGAGGGGGCGGGGGGGGGGGGGAAAAAAGGAATGGGCCATATTTTTTTACTTTTAGATATTAAAGAGTATGATGTGGCCAGTATTGTGGAGCGTCTAGGCTGTTTACCTTCACCGATGCAGTTTTCCCCTCCTGTTTTGTAATTGAGCTCCATTAAATTCTCCCCACACCAGGCTTAGACCTGTGTCCCTTTGCTGATAAAACTGACAAGCAGTTAAATTCATTGTGCATTTTGTTCCAGGTCCTGCAGATTTTCAGCGATAGCCCCAAAAGAGCGATGCTTCCTTTGTCAGATGGTGTCTTCAGAATTGCATTTTTAAAATCTTACATGTGACTGTGCTGACTGTGCTTTGTGGTGGCCCTGCTCCAAGGAACGCCCCTGCAAAGAGACGGGAGGGATGTGCTCTCCTGCGCCAGAGAGACTTGGGGGCGAAGGGCACGGAAGGGCTGGCAAGCTGGTCCTCAAGCCTGGTTCCAGTTTCTTTTTCCTGAAGCGCTGCATTGTTAAGTGCATCCATCAGCAGGCTGGGACAGGCTCGGCATAAATATGGTGTTTGTTGTGTTCTTGCCTTTCCAGACACACTTGGTTTTATGTGCTGGGTCACAGCTTGGAAGGTGGATTCTTCCTTGCTCAGCCACATGTGCTTCCCTTCTCCTTAATGTGAAGTGCTGGTAGGGTAAGCTGGTACTGGTAAGCACAGTAGTGGGCACGTTCTCTTTGTTCTCAAGTGCCAGTCCATACTGGAGAGCTGTGCTCAAGCATTTTGATTGGGTCAGTTGTCTAGATGTTCCCCTGTTACAGCAAAGTTCATCTCAGCTGTGGGTCCTGGTATATAATTCAGAGCATATCTCCCTGGAAAAGGAAATCGGTTTGTAGAACAGCTGCTTTTGGTTTGCTTTTCCTTGCCTTTGTTGTTTACTTCCCCCCCGGCCCGCCAGTCCTTGTCAGTGGAAATGTGCCGTGTTAAGAGCTGGGGATGGGGAATGAGCATTTCTCCACTGCTGGTTGCTTTAAAGTAGCAGCACATGCTGAGCTGCAGTGTTTGCCTGTGACAGCTGGCAGGAGGACTGCCTGCAGGAGGCAATCTGGTAGACTTGACATTTGGATCAATTGCTGCGATTGAAGCTTCTCCTTAAGCTCTGTGGCTTGCCTCTGCTGATGCTACCGCACAAGCTTAGAGCCATTTCTAACGGCACAGCTCTGCAATGCGAGTTTGCTGTCCTCCGGACTGGAGCAGGGAAGGGAACGGCAGACTGATGCTCTTGATAGTGCCAAACAGGCCTGCTGTTGGAGATGCAGATGAGATACTGTTACACCAGCATCCCTCTTCCTGTGCCGACCCACCACCACCTGTAAATGCCCTGTGTGAAGGGAGATGGTTTTCTCGGTACTCATAGCCACCTCTTCAACTCGGTGTTGTTGCATTTCAGGTTCCTTGGTGCTATTTCACCATTGTTGGTGTTTCCATAAGCAGCTGTGTTTTGCAGTGGTTTGTAACATACAGGTATTTGGGGTTTGAAGTGCATTTTAACAGTTAAACTTCAGTATTCTGTAGCAAATCATCTTGCAGGGTTTTACAAAGTCTGTTGCCTGAGGAAGTGAACAGATAGCCTCCAGCCATTTTTCTTGTTAATTTTTTCACAGGGAAGCATTTGGAAGTATTCTATTCAAAAAATGCTTTTTGCTAATGTGGTTTGAGTGCTTGTCTAAAGACCGTTGTTCAGCTCTTTTCTGCTTGCAGTGTAGTGAAACATTGTGCATTGCAGCATGAAACATATAAGAAAAAGTGGACCAAAGGACCGATCTAGGAGGATACATACATGAAGAACATCAGTGGCTTTCTGGAGTGAAGATAAATTTACAGGTTTGTACACAACGCAGCACTAATGCTCAGTTCAGAATTTAAGCCTAATGCCTTCCCGGGGCAGACTGCCGCCCACACAGGCAAAGACATCTTTCCGATGTGACACTGACGTGGCACTGAGTGTTTCCTACCTGCCTTTAAAAGAGGGAAGTGTGCCAAGTTATTGTCAAGGAACTTGAGTATCCTGTTGCTAGAATGTTAGAAAGGAAAGGTGACTAAAGCTTTCAGTTTCCAGCTTCTATGTGCTTCTCTAAAAGTATCAGGACTGCAGTTCCTGTGATCTTCAGGGCAGCCAGCTCATGAGAAACGGACCTCGTCAAAAACAGCACTCCCAGGTCAAACGGAGTGTCCAACCTTAGTCAAGCCAAGCAGGAAACAACATTCCCCCTCCAAATTGGACATTTAAAAGATGAGTCCCCCCCGCCGTGTTCTTTGGGATGAAGTAAAGACCTTCCTTCAAGACGAGGGGAAGTGAGACTCCACAGCCCTCCTCTGCATAAGCCATGGTGGTGGCTGAGCACATCTGCTTGGACTGTAGGAGATTTCGGGTGTAATTTTCTTCTCCAACTTAGTCTTCGAAATTTTTTTTTTTTTTTGAGGCTCCCGGGTCCTTGCTTAATGTTCCAACCCCTGCTCTGGGGGACACGGGAGCAATTGAGTGAACAAATTTGGAAGCAGGAGTGTATCTTTTCCGATGCCTCTTGACTATATTTGCACTTTAAGAGACTTCACCTTGGGTTTGGGTCAGGGGCTAGGATCCTGGCAAGCCTTTGGGAAACTGGTCTCTTTCATCATGAGCTTGTATGGGGAGTTTAACTCCTGGGTGGTATCTGCCAGATGAGTGTAAATACATGAAGTCAAATTATGCTTTGTCACAAAATACATATGTGGAGAATTCAATATTGTGGCTGTTACCAATAAATATTTTGTAGAGAGATCACAGAGTGCTGTAAATTCTGCGTTCGTCCGGTCTGATACAACTTGCTGATTTCTTAGAGGGGGAATGAGAAAATCATTGTTTTAAAAGCCCCTTTGTTTTGGGAAGTCAGAAGCTCTGTAGTGAAAAATGTGATGCTCTGAAGCTATCCCTCCATAAATGGCCCATTTTAAGAGGGTTTTTTTTGCCTAGGAATGTATTGGTAGGGAAGCAGCCTTGTGACAGCTACTTGTTGAGGTATGGTGCCCTAGGGAGAGGGGTGTCCACAGGAGCCTGTGGTCCGGATGGAAGAGCCAAGCCCTTTCTCAG